TAGAGCGATCTAGTTCCCTGGCAGGGAGGGCGGGACCCAACGTGGGAAGACTCTATCTCCCTGGCACCGGACCCTCCTCCCTGGGCGTCAAGGAGCTCACCTCGTGAAGAACCCCACACGCACACCCCCCTGCACGTTCCCGTCACCGCGCACGGCACACACTCGCGTGCACGTGGTCTGGACACTCACAGGACACCCGGCCGCTGCCGGCACCTGCGCTCAGCCCGGGCCTGGGCCAAGCTGTCGAGCAATCGGCGAGTGAGGGCAACCGCCTTCCGCTGATGCTTCTTGTGCAGCTCCCGAAGCTCTCGCTCTTGCCGGCTCCGGAGTTTCACCAGAGCCTTGTGGCCTCGGAGCTCGTCCAGCGGGGCCGGGGCCACCTCTGCGAGCGACGGGGCAAAGGTGGGCGGGGCTGGGCCGGGGCAGGCCAACCCCGCAGGGGCGCCTCACCCCCTCCAGAACAGCCCCTGCCCCGCACCTGAGAGGAGGCTGGCGATGAGGTCGTCGCGCTGCCCTGGAGAGCAGAGGCGGGGCCGTGAGAGGCTGGCGGACGGAAGAGCGTAGCTGCCCCCTCAGCCCACCCTGGGCCCAGGCTGCCCCTTACCTGGGCTGCTGAGGGAGGGGCTGGTAGGGGACGTGGCGGGGCCCGGGGGCCGGCGCGGGGAGATGTCCAGTGTGCTGGGTGTGGGGTTTGGGGTCACCGGCTGCTGAGATGGAGTCTCCTGGCACGTTTCTGGGCCAACCTGAGCCTGAGGGGGAGAAAGCAGAATGCTCTTTCCAGAAATGCCGTTCTCTCCAGGCCCTTCTGTCCTTCGCGACCTCCCGGGGCTCCCCGATGCCCCTGGTCCGCTTCCCTCGGCCCGTCTGGCCTGGACTCCCCATCTGGAATTATGGGGCTGTTGAACACCCACAAGAGAAATAAGAGGTAATAAGGTAAGCATTTCTAGAACCCCGGTTCCACGCAGGCTGTGGGGCAGATAACGTGAGGTCGCGTCCCTAGGATGCCGGGCCCCCGTGCATGTGCTCAGGAACTTCCAGATTGTTCAGGAAAACCTTGGCCCCACCCCAAGCTTCCTCCCCCTTTCCCAGTCCCCCTCCACCCTCACCCACAGCTGCTCATCTTCCTCGTTGCTTAGCTCCTGATTAAATCAATGAAGGAAGTGACCGCAGAGTGGGCACCAGCCTCTCCCGCGGACAGCTCCAGCAGCCTCCTTTCTCTGCCTGCCACAGGCCCCGGGGGACCGGCTCTAGCTGTGCGGGCAAGCCTCTGCTCCTGACCCCTCCCCACAGAAGCCACTGCCCATCTCCTGGCCCCCAGGACCCCAGGGTTTAAAAGCTTCTGTGGCTTCCAACCGCTTTGGTGAAGCAGCCGAACCCTGCCCTTCAGCTGGAGAGGTTCCAGCCCGGGTCTGTCCTGAAAGCCTCCCGCACACAAAAGGGGTAGTTTCCACCTCCTTACGACGTGGACAGTCACCCAAGGCAGCTGAGCCTACTGAGTCTGAAAGGCCAGAGGCCCCACACCAGGCGGCATGGCAGAATGGCCGG